CTATACAATGAAAGGTTATTAAAATAATAGTATTCGGTGCCTTTTAAATTTTACTATGTTAAAATTGGCTATTAAATATAGATTCAGTATTTATTTAATGTTTTTTTTTTTTTATTAAAAGGACAGTTTTAATAATTATTTAACTTATAAAATGTGTATCGTATGTTTGTTTAATTTGTTAACTGTTATCTTCRAGTAATTTATTGTTTTTGAGACGTATAAATTTAATTTCAAGGACTATTTAAACTGTTACTTTTTTGATTCTGAGAGGAGCCATAGATGTATTTTTTGGTTATACAATGTGTTTGTATTTTTTTGGTTTAKTTGGTACGTTTAAATCATTGGTTGGGGAAAAAAAACTGAAAAACGAGAATTTATGCAAAACTGAGTTTTTAACAAAATTAATAACTAGATACTTAAATTACCTAACGTAACTTAAAAAYGTTAATTTTTGACATTACGTTTAAGCATCTACAACATCTATAATATCAACATATATTATTATTTTCTATAAATAATGCCGTTYTAAAACATTTATGACTTATTAATATTTACACCTGTTCTAATATTATGAACGTACCTCGGATGTATTAACTTATAGCTTTATAAGTTAATAAAAATAATAATATAATTTAAGATATGATAATAACAATTATTTAATGTACGTCTTGTTTTTTTCAAAAATTTGTTTTACTTGTTTATTAGGATAATATAAAATAAATGATTCTCCACTCAAAATTATTTTAGTAAAGAATGATTTTTCATTGAATTCAAYATCTATTAGGGTGATATATAATGAAAACGCATACCTAACACCTAYAATAAAGCAAAGAGTTTTCTCTAGGTTTATTCAATGCATTTTTGTAATTCAGCTTAATTTTCTATAGGTCTAAAATTATGTGTTTCTCTTTATTACAAAAGTACACAGTACCTAAAGTTAAAAGCATTTTAAATGATCATTATTCATTAGTTATGATTCAAAATCAAAATATGAATTAAAGAATCCGAGGCGATCTAGATAATGATCTTTATCTTAAAAATTAAAAATTGAATACAGGTCAGTTAACTCTAGTATTAAAAAG